AGTTTTTCGTGAGACCCATAAGACCAATTTATGTTTATTGATAAACTTTATAAGTTAATGATCTAATGGTCTAAAGTTGTATGGTACCAATTTTGTAATTATTGAGAAGTCTCGTGACGTTTATGAATGTTGAGATCTGACGATTGTAGATCTAATCAAAGGGTTGGGAATTGGTCTTACAGGTTTCACAAAAAACCATTGGTCTCACATGATCCCAAGTCTATATATATATATATATATATATATATATATATAAACAACTATTTATTCATCTTCATCTCTCACACCCTCTCAAATTCTATCTCTATCTTGTACATCTCTAAATTTATTTATTTCCTGTTTGGTTTTTCTTCTATTTTACTATTGATAATATTCATAGTTTTTTTTTCTTTTTTCACTTCTCCCATATTTTTATGTATGTTTGTATCGTTATTTAGATTGCATTATAGTTTTATGCATTATGTCATAAAGATTTGAAGAAGTCTTCAAGTTCAATATTTATTTTTTTTATTGCAATATAAGGTAATAATTTCTTTTTTTGGGTAAAGGGGACGGAACCCCAGGAAATTAAATAAAGAAAATTACACAAAAGAAATGGGCATACCCATTTTTACAAGGTAATAATTTTATATTGATTTGTTTCACGATTTTGATTGCATTATAATTTTATTTATGTTTGTATCGTGATTTTTATTTGCATTACAACTCTTATGTATTAGGTGAAGATATAAAATGTTCATGTTCACTATGTAATTTTTACTTAAGTTGAACGTTTTTTGGTTTGCAGGTTTTCGAGCTCTTTAACGTTTATATATCAAGTCTTGAAAATTTGAACTTTTCAAGTTTGGGTTGTGGGAATTTTTTATTATGATCWAARGTAAGGATTYTATGCAAGTTTGTTTTGTAATTTAGAGTGTATTAGAATGTTATGTATGTTTGTATCATGATTTTGATTGGATTATATTTTCAAGTATGTTTTTATAGTAAGTTTAGTCGTATTATACTTTTATGTATGTTCATGTTGTGATTTTGTTTGGATTATAATTTTATCTATTGGGTTATAAAGATTTGAAGTCTTAAGTTTGGTATGTGATTTTTTACATATCGTATGGTTGGTCCATTTACTATTGTGTTTTTAAAGTCAATGTGTGTGTTGAGGATGAAAAATGGTACATGTACATCATCCTTTGAAGGAGACATATCTTTATGTGGAGTATTTTTTATTCTTAAGTTTGTGTCAAATTCCTTAATATTCCGGTCGTTATTATTACTTATTTTATTTAGTTTTACAACTTTATTACTAAACAAATCTCTCTCTCTCTCTCTCAATATATATATATATATATATATATTAAAATTTCACCAATTATATTTTATTTAACTTTTTCGAATTATTTGAATACGATTTGTTGATAATTTTATTAACAATTAATATATATTTATATAGACAATCCTCAGATCATTAATCAAAGTATTCATACTACCGCCCAATATGCAGTTCTCATACTAGTTAAGTATTACAATATTATGACACGTGTTACAAACTATGACACTCGGTGTAGCAGAAAAGTGACATCTGTTTTCCTTCTTATACTTCTAGGTTCATGGCTGAAGAAAGAAACGGTGAAGAAGAAAACTGAAAACACACAACAAAGAGAGAGACAATGCAATGCAATCCGTAAGAAGTGCGCTTTTGAACCTCAGAAAAGCAGATTTTGGTGGATCAATTTCTTCCTCCTTGCCACGTCATGTCTCTGGGTGTTGCTTCTCTTCTGCCTCTAACTACTCTCATCAGGTACGTACTATATTTCGATCTTTTTACGTTACAAGAAGTTCATAGAGTTGTAAAGATTTGAGAACACAAATAAGATTCCAAAGCGTCGTTTCGTGAACGATTAATGATTAAGTGCTTATCGACAACGTACGTTTACGTTATTGATTGAGCATGAAAAGGATGGAGAAGAGGTGTGTAAGGATCAAGAGTTTTATCTGACGATAAGTGAGAGAAAAGACTCTTACCGGTAAGTGTTTAGTGGGTTTAAGATGTTTATCAAAAATCTATTTTGGTGGTCGAGAACGTTAGACGATAAGTCCCTTTGGAGAAGGGACGATACAGAGAGGATTAGCATGGCCGGTGACATACACAAATCGAGAAATGATTCAAGTTTTTACTGGTTCGAATCCGGTAGGTCGGAATTTTTATTTTGATTTGTTAGGAGAAATCCTTTCCAAAAAAACGTTAGACGATAAGGTCGATGAGATTGATAGTTACTTGTTGGTAAGTGTTTGCTTATCCGGTAAGCGTTTGATAAAAAGAGCTTAAAAAGGCAATCACACATGATGCCTCAAGCATGAAAATTACCATTAACCCTAATCGGGGCTTGTTTTCTTACTTGTTAGGAACCTTAAAAATTAATTAGAAACGTGGAAACCGTACATAACGCAACACATGGTATATTCATCATGAATGTTACTGTAACATATTCATTACAAATATATATGATTCATTGTGAATAACATGTTCATATTAATTATGAATGTTTGATCCATTACAAATAATACTTCCATATTCGTCATAAATGTGTTGTTTGTAGGTTCCTATTTAATTTTGGGGATTTAATGGAACTTCCCTCCAGGGATGGACCCACTCTACTGGATACAGCGGCAACCCCTTCCTTCCTCCATTGTAGTGTAAAAACTGATAGGACCGTAAAAGGTGTCACCGTATCATTTTGTTCTGTGCAATCGGATATATTTTGAAACGACAATAGGAATAAAAGTTTTTTATTCATAGAATTGGTTTGCAATGCTTTTCTCCTACTCTAGACCCGACCGGTTCGAATCCCGTTTGTGTCGTGTTCCCTAATTTTTAGCTTTTAATTTCAGATTTATTATATTTCTAAAAGGAATGTCAATAAAAGATTAGAACACACAACATCAAATATGAAACAAAGACGTAACCAATAGACTAATGACGATTTTTTTTGCATAAAATATCCATAGCTTCGTTTCTTATAGTCAATAAATTAGGTCCTACTCTGCTTCCCTCAACCCTGATATATATGATTCTCTTGAGACGATCATTATATATACGAATCTTGATTATCATGAAAGGAAGTATCCAAGTTTTTTGAGACAGAAGCCGAATCCGTTTCGTCATACTTTCCCGTCGATCATGTTTCTCTATCGATTGACAACTTGAGATGGATTAATTATTAGAAGTCTACGGAAGAACCGAAGAAATCGAAAGTTTCCAAAGAAATATAATGTTACTATATATCGTGTATGATTAGTGCTTTGCTAGGTGGTGGTGTTTTTGCTTTTAGGGCGAACTTGCAGGTGAAAAATGGACAATATCTATAAGGTTGATTAAGACACACCACAAGAAAATTGGATTTATAGGACGCCACCAACTTCTAAGCATGCTTTAGAGGACTTAGTTTATAGGAACATAACAAAAGTGTCTTATCTAAAGACGTTGTAATAAGTTCATAGGACGCTTTTAGGCGTCTTAATACGTTTTTGATACAAAAAACGTCGTATTAGCAAAATTTTATAAGATACTTTTGAGAAAATGTCCTGTAAACCTATCTTTTTATATGAGTATTGATATTAGGAGGTCTTTACATTCTTTTATACGAGTCGTGTTGTGATGTTACTGTATATACATAATGTGTAAAATTAATGTTATTATGAATGTCGTTATTGGTGTGATTTCTTCTTTGAATCAAGGGAAAACATGCAAGTGAAGAAACGGACAATAGCTATAACATCGATGAGGCAATAAGTTATGTTGGTGACGGATCGTCGGAGTTGCCAAGAAAAGCAAAAGTTAGGATCGGAGAAGAAACAGCCAATCGAGATGAAGGTATGAAAGACGAGTCCAAAGAGAGGGCTCATGACATGAAACAAAGTAGCACTAGCATAGCTGCCGATAAGGCTGGTGAGGGTATTAACAAAGCTGCCGACATGGTGAAGGCGGCAACGGACAAGACAGTGGACGCTGTGGATACTGTGGCAGTGAAGGCAAAGGAGACCGTAAAGGGGGCTTGGGAGGCCACTAAAGACGCCAAACAAAGAGTTTCCGGTACATCCTCATTCAATGTTGATCATCTTTGGGAAGATCACACCACAAAACCCGAAGATGACACCGAAAAACATAGGCACCACACCGGAAAACCCGAAGATCACACCGGAAAACCGGAAGATCATACGGAAGGGATGATGAAATCGAGGAAATTGGAGGGTCATTAGTTTGTGAGGTGGTATTAGTTTTTGTTAAGGATTATTAATTTATGTTGGGATAAAATAGGTGGGAAATATATATTTGTGGTTATCTTATATAATAAGAATAAAAGAATCAATTACGAAGTAAGTTAAATTACTTAAAATCAAATTTAAAACAATGATAATTGGTAAATAAAAAGGTATTATTAATTTGTGAATATATATATAGATGAGCGATCAAATGAAAATCACTCTTATTTGTATACATACAAACCACCCTCATACATCGATTTTATTGTTTAATCTTATGAAATTTTTTTATAAAATTGTTTAATGTTGTGAAATTGTTTCATATAATACTTTTTTGATGAATTTGTTTCATATATGATTATGAAATTGTTTTATATAATATTTAATGAAATTTTAATGGAATTGTTTCATATATTTCTCTAAAATTAAAATAATGAAAATGATAATATCTATGATTAACACCCTCCATAATAAAAATAATTAATCAACCTTTCATAATTACAAAAAAAATGAACAAAATAAAAAATTATGATTGGTTGAATGTGGTTTTCACGGTTTGTGCAAATTGAATGATTTTTACTTGAGCGCTCCTCTCTCTCTCTCTCTCTCTCTCTATATATATATATATATATAAGGTATATTTCAAATGCAACAATGTCCATTTGTACAACCAATGCAACTCAATCAATTGAGATATTTATGGAATTGATGAGAGTTCATTTATTATGATTTGAATATTTATGAAAAATAATTATAGTTCATTAATTATGATCAATACTTTATATTAGAAAACAATCAAAACTTTTATGAAATCATATATTAATCAAATTAAATGGACAGTTGAGATTGAGTTATATTGTTTGTACAAATGTAAAAGTTTGTATAATAACTCTTATAAGAAGTACACAACATGTTACATCCTAAAACCCTAATTTAAGATAATTAATTTTATTAATTAATAAGATAATTAAGTAGATAATTGTCTTTATTTATTAAATCAAAGTTAATGCATTTTCTTTTTATAAAATTATATATTTATCTTTTTCTCTCTCTATCTTTCTCTTTTTATATCTATATTAACATGCACGTCGTTCGTACAAGGTGAACATATTGTGAACACAATGTAAACAACATTAATAAATTGTTTAATTTGGTGTTCACAAGGTTCACATTGTGGTTCGTGGTATGTTTAGATTTAGTTTTATTAATTTAGTTTATGTTCACAATCGATACCTGATTTCTTGAATTTGGAGTATGTTCAAAAACTATAATAATATTTATAAGAAAGTGTTACAATGTGCTTATAAACTATAATAGTGTTTATAAAAAAATGTTCACAATGTGTTCACCTTGAGTTAATATTCAATTATATGTCATGTGTACATGTAACTAGAAGAGTACATGGGAAATGCAGTCGATTTCAGTGTTTCATTTTATTTTTTGTCTCTGTCGATGTTATAATACAAATTTATGTGGTTTTGAGCAAACAATAATATTTTTCTTGATAAAATATCATAAAAATTAAAAAATATATAAAATTTCTCATTTTTTGTGTAATTTATTTAATTCAATGTTTTATTATAAAATTAATTTAGATTTAATGACGAATTAATTTATATTTGATTTAATAATATAATTTTTATAAAGATAATAACTAAGTATTTTCTTAGCACTCAATAATTATCCTAATTATATTTTAGATTTTTTTAAATAATAATTTTATCTTGTATTTGATTATATTTATCTCAATTAGTTACACGAATTCATACATGAAGCTTAATATACTTACGTACAATTTACTTGTAATACTGAATTTTAAGTAATATGCATTAATAAGTTATAATTCATGTATAAAAGATGGTTTTTAAGAATTGTTACTAAATACTTTATAATATAACATAGACAGAGGAAGAGAAAATAAGAGAGAGAAAAGAGGAGATAAGAGTGAAAAAAATAGGAGGGAGAAGAGAGCAAAGAGATATTTTTAATATATTTTAGATGGTTTTTTCTAATTAATTTTTTGTGTTTTAAATTGTATTTTACGAATCTCGCAAATTAACAGATGATTAAAAGAAGAGCCCCTAATAATTTGTGAAATATACATGTATACATAGTATAAGAAGTACATGATGTGTTTGAATTAGAATTATGTTGAAAATAGTGACAATATTTTTTTATATTTTTTTGGATGAGTTGATTTTTTAATCTAACTTAATTTTTTTAAACTATTTTTAATACTTTTAATTATATTTATCTACCTTTACCTTCATTTTAAGCTATTTTCACAATTTTTTACATACATTTAATTATTTTTGCATACATGAATTTGTTAAATTTTGATCATGATAATAAAGTTAGGTAAATAAAAGTAGTTTGAATGTAGATTAAGGTATATGAAGGTTTTGTTATCACATTCTCATTATAACTATTATTCGATCTCATTGGAACCCAAACCGAAATACACGATCCCTCAGAATAATAACTATGTTCTATTTGTATGTAACAATTTACCGGATAAGCGCCTACATTCGTCACCCTCGCCGGATGAAACTCAATCATTTTCAGCATACGTACCAGGTAAGATTCTCGGTTGTTATTATATTCATTCAGTAGGATAAAATGACATATTAAGTAATTACCGGATAAACATTTGACACCTCAAACATTACATGATATAAACAAAATGTTTTCAATACAACATTTTCAGTGTCTAATCAACTTCGAATCACTGTCTTAAATAATTCACTCTATGTATTCACTACAAAAACAAACACTTTCGGTAATAGATAAGGTCATCATAGATCTATTTGTAACTGAATGATCTATCGAAATCACTTAATCATCGAAGAGTTGGCCGCTGAAACAGTCGCCAACGGTGCTCCTATGTACATCAGTGATGGTTAGGTTTTCCAAAGGTCCCCATATCAGTGTCAGATTTCCGACAAACATTGCATTGCATTCCTACGTGTTGCCAACTCAACCTTTTACCTCTAGATCAAATCCATGCATTGCTCACTTAGCCTCTAGCATGTGCACGTATTGCCTGCTTTGCCTCAAGCTCGTCCTCTCGTCCTACCACATTCACCTATTTTGAGTAGCTTTCTTGAAATGTCGACCCTTTTTCAACATTCGAGACTTTTAGCTCCCACGGTTGTGGATCATGTGGAGGACGAGCCTAAAGTGTTAGGCTTTGGGTCATACGCATGAACAGCCTGCTCATAAGTCCTACCAGTTCAAAAATCAAAAGTTTTTTTTAGTTTTGGTGGCATACCGACCGTAGATAAAACATTTTTATAACAAGGTTTCAATAGATATAGTTATCAAACTACAATAGCAATCATAATAACAACTAATCTACTACCCACTTACCCTAACTGTAACACCCAAAATTCTGGGTTGTTACTTCATCAATAATCATCGTATGGGCATGACCGTTCCAATATTTTTGGAGGTCCTGTTGCACTATTATGAAAAATATAAGTAGATTGGTCGAAAAAACAAATAAGAGGTAATACAAAAGTTCATATTATATTGAAAATCTTACAAATAAAAACAGCCAAAAGACAAAGTAACATGTAAACTTCACTTGAATAAAATCATTCTTTTAACATTCTTGGAAACAAAATCTTCAATAAGCTTTTCATAATCAACTTTCTCCAAAAAGTCATTTTCAAGTGTTATCATTGCAAGTTCGTCAAGCCTTTCTTGTGTCATTGTGAAGCACATATAAGATTTCAACAGCTTCAACTTTGAAAAACTTCTTTCATCAGATGCAACGATTACAGGAATAGTCAACAAAACTCTATAAGCAATAATAGCATTAGGGAAGCATTCAACATGGTTCACATACTTTAAAATATCAAGAGGTCCCATTTTTTGTGTGGGTAAAAAATCTTGAAGTATCTTCAGTTCAACATATAAGTCATTTCCATCTATATCAAATTGGTCATGTTTCTTTAGTGCATTTTCAAAATTAGGACAAGAAGACTTTAAACATGTATCATCCAAAGAACGCAGCTTATCATATGTAAACAAAAACCAAAACACACTTTCCTATTCTTGGTATTGTTCGAATCTCCTACTTAGTGAAGCAATTGCATGATCAACGACACATAAGAAATAATTAACTCTAAATGACTCCTCCGTTGATTGTGAATTCATTTTAGATGCATCATGCGGATTTTTCATCAAAATGCATTTTTCTTCGAATTTCACATCTTTGAGGAAACAACTGATCAATATTCAATTTTGTGGCAATCGTCTTTACTGATTCTACAGCATCTAAAAATCCCGTTTCTCTATATCCCTTATAATAATAAATAAAATAAAAAAGTCATTCCCTTTACTTGATCAATAGCAACACCAATCAACATATTTTCTGATTGTAAATGTTTACTAATCAAATTTACGACATACAATATTTCATACCAAACACCATTGACACTAGAAACTCAAAATTTCCAAGCTCATTGTGTGCTAAAGATTTTGCTTCACTTCTAGTTTTTGAATCATTATCTATTTCAGCCACTTGAAGTAACGTTTCTCCTATCTCTAACACTTGAAATCTTATAGCCTTTACACTATCAATACGACTCTCCTAGCGAGTTGTTGACAATGACTTGACGGTCCATCTTTTTACATTATTTTTAAACATTTGCCATCTTTTAGTGGAATTAGCAAATATTGCATAAATACGTTGAATTATTCCCAAAAAAAATCTCTAGCTCTACCACAAGTATTGGCTATATCACACAAAGTTGAATTAAGACTATGAGAAGCACAAGAAGTGTAAAATGATCTAGGATTTGTATCTAGTAGTTTCTTTGTACTCCTTGATGTTTTTCCTTCATGTTTGAACCATTATCATAACCTTGTCCTCCCACATCATCTAAATCCAAACGAAGACACTTTACTTCAGCTATCAGAACATCAAACAAACCTTGGCCTGTGGTATTATCTACCTCTAAAAATCCTAGAAAAGATTCCCCAATGCTAACAATTTTAGAAGAGACATTGTTAGCTCTCATATCATTAAATGTAAAAGTATGGAAAAAGTAATACTGCAAGGG